GGTTTTTATTGAGCGGTAAATATCTGGAATGGACTGCTATCAGAAGTAAATGAGAGTAATATCGAATGTATATAGCGTGTTATTAGAGCTTAATGAGGGTAATATGGAATACATATATTGTATCCTCAATATTAAGAGGAAGTAATATTAAAGGCACGTTTAAAGACAGGCTGGTCACGTTTAAAGACAGGTTGGTCACGTTTAAAGACAGGTTGGTCACGTTTAAAGACAGGTTGGTCATATTCAAAGACAGGTTGGTCACGTTTCCGTAAATACGAGGTTTGCATTATGAACTCAGAACTGAATGCTTCTAATAACCTCGTATGGGTGCAGTAATAACCTTGGGGGGGGGAGGTTAAACAATAACGTCGTCTGGGTCCAAAAAAACCTTGTGTGGGTTCAGTAATAACCTCATGTGGGTTCAATAATAACCTTCTGTGGGTTCAATAATAACCTCGTGTAGGTTCAACAATAATGTCTTGTGGGTCCAATAAACAACCTTGTGTGGGTCCAATAAACATCCTCGTGTGAGACTGATAAACCTCACGTGGGCTCAATAAAGAGTTTCGTATGGGTTCCATAAACATTCCCGTGCGAGTCTACTCAACTTAAAGCAGCTGTACATGTTGCCTTGATGTTTCTCGTGCAGTCAGTTGGCGCCATGGGCATCATATCTTCTTGCTGCTGCTGCTGGCAGGCCACAGTTCGAGCTCTGATTACTCTGTCACACTATCGGCACGAGAGTTGTTGAATTGGACAGGAGGCAGTAACATTGTAGTAGTGGTAGTTGTAGTAATATTAGAAGCAGTGCAACAGTGATAGACTTGGTGGTAAGAAGAGGCAGCTAAGTAATAGGAGTATTAGTAATAGTATCCTGTTAACTTTTCGTAAAAAAATTTTATTTTTAGAAAACATATTAAGAACCTAGGACACATTGACTTCAAGATCCCAGGATATATTGTGACCCAGAAGACTTCACGTGATATTTCAGGTTTGATATTCTTGTCGTCGGTCACAAACGGAGGTTTAAAATGGATTTCTGTCGAAATCAATCCCGATGTTGACCAGTTTATTCCCAGAAATTAATTTTCCTGTTGGTGTCTAGCTTCGGCCTTTCTAAACATCACCACCGCAACAGAGGTTCCTCCAATACCTGCGCGAACACACGATCCCGCCAACACCTGCACCAACATAAGGTTCCTTCAACTCCTGCACCATCACAAGGTTCCTTCAACACCTGCACCAACACAAGATCCCACCAACACCAAGGAGTACGGTTCAAGAAACTTCAAGATTTCCGAGTAGTTCAGACATTTGACTAAATTTATGCGGGTAGTGAAGATTCTCTGCTCGTTTTCCAGCTCTTCAGTCTCCCCTGCCGTGAAGGGTGATATTAGTACGTATATAACATTATTACAGCCTGCAGAGAGCAAGTGACTCGAGGAGTATCATTATTAGCTTGGTAACTCTTGTTTATGAACGTTATAGTTATCCAGTCTATTATTATTATTCCGAAAGCAATAGAAACTTTGTCGTGATCCTTGAATGTGAGATCCTCCTACATTATTACTCCCAAGTCTTGCACATGGAACTTTCTTTAAAGATTTTATTTACTCCGTTCTTCCACAGAGGAACAACCGAGACTTGTCCTCACTGAAAATCATATTGCTGCCTGAGACTTACTTGGAAAACATGGTTTAAAACCTCTTGAACATTCGATATTTCTTCGACGGACGCTGCTCCCAGAGATTCTGGAATAATACGGTACTATGATTTATGTAATTATCTGTGTGTAATATAAAAATGAGTAATAGAAATGGGGCGAGCGCTGTACCTTGAGGAACAGAATCATTCACTGTGGCAGCCTCCGCTTTCACTGTTTACTACTACTCTCCGGATTTTATTTGTTATGGTCGCACCTGTCGTGAGCTTCTGGAAAATCAGTTTACAGTACATGTGCATTTAGCTCCTTCTCTAGTGCATCCAAGACTACGGCAATGGATCTAGCAGTTATGAAAGGCAGAATCGACTCGCTCTGAACCTATATTGTCCTGGGTTGGGTAACTGCTGTGAACGGCAATCTTAAACGGAAGGGTCTTGAATTTAAGGGCTCAGTCGCTACGGGATAAAGTCCCACCCGTTCTTTT